TAAATGACTGTAAATAATATATTTCAACACTTTTTTCTCCTTCAGGTAACCATAGTGATGAAGATGCTGCTGGGCTGCTCTCTCTGCCTGCTCCTCCTGCTCAGCTGTCTGAGTGAACCCGTGGAGAGCCGGCATCTGCATCTGGACAGCTGCTCTGTCGACGTTCACACACATGAACTGCGGAAATATTACTCTGCCATACGATCAGATGTGGTGAGTTTAAGTCTCTCTCTCTCTTATAATTTTATTATTATTGAAACAATTGACAACACACACAGCGTTAGTAGGCTTTTTAGAGAGTGGAATATTTGCATCAACTTCAGAGGACTAATGAGATCTTTTCTGTTTTTTATTTTCACAGTTAGCAGGAGACCATGAGATTGGAGTAAAACTTCTGGACAGATCATTGATAAAAACTGTTCCGGTGAGTCTTTGTATGGTTTATGTCAGTGAGTGATGGCTATGTGTTTTCCATCCTCACCTTTGTATCACGCTAATTACATTTCTTAGACACAGACAGCTCAGAGCTATATAAACAGTATTTGATGATGTCTTTATCAGGAGGGACAGGTGTGCTGCTTCCTGCATCTTCTGCTGCGGTTCTATGTTGAGCGAGTGTTCAGCAACTACGCTTCCTCACATCCACAGCAGCAGCGCTGCTCCAGCGCTCTGGCCAACGCTTTTGTCATTATCAGAAAAGATATACATAAATGTGTAAGTAACTCGTTCAGTAATAAAGTCTGATTTTTAATCATTTTAATAAGTTGACATAAATAAGTTTATAAATGAGCTCTGCTCTTTGCAGCACTGCCACTGTGAAGAAGAAACCCGAAGAAGAATCGACTCCCTCCATGCTGAGTTTATCAAGGTATGTAGTGTGTAAGTAGACTACACTGTATATAAACACCTCTCCATTCTTACAGTGGGCTGCAGAGGGTGCTAGAGTGCATGCTCTAAATGTATGTATGTGTAAAGAAAATGAGTTGCGTTTCAGCAGCTGTAAATCTGAATTACATAAGT